TTACAATAAATCTAGACATTCAACATCTATCTGTTGGCACCTAACGAACTTGAAATATCAACCCACTGCTCAGCCTCAAGCTCTTACGGGTACCTCCAAGGAGTGGATCCTTGATTTTGGTGCAACGACACACTTCACATCAGATGTAAATCACTTACAAACTTACTACGAGGCTGAACAAGTTACAGTTGGCAATCAACAAGTCATTTCGATTCACTATAAGGGCGATGACTTCCTTCCTAATCCCACCCATAAGCTCAAACTGTCTCAAAAATAACAACATTGTTGTCTCATTTGACTCCTCTGGCTTTTCTATCTTCGATCCACATACTCACAAAATGATCCACTAGGACCCAGTTCTAATGGTATCTACTCCATCCCATCCTCCAACATCACACCACAAGCATTGGCTACTTCCATGTCCAAAGCACACCACTCCAAGTTATGGCATAGAAGATCATTATTTTGACAAGAATATCATTATTTTAATTTTAAAAAAAAGTGAAATATATTTTTGTATGTATATATAAATTGATATATTTACATATCTCACACCTTAATTTTCATATTTACACATATAACACTCAATTTTGTAATATCATATCAAAATAGTACTATTGTGACTTCTTAAAAGTGAAATGCATATAGGTTTAAATCACAAAACTGCAATACACGTTTTTAAATATGAAAGTTTAGGTGTGTGATATGTAAATTCATAAAAAAATTGTTGTATATATGTAAATTTTCCAAGACTTAAATGAGTTTTTATACGGGTAATAGACCAATAATAAAATAATTTAACATGAAGCAGTATGAGTCAAGCCTAACAACTTCTTGATGGGCGTAGTAAGATGCTAATTTAGTAACATCAACAGCAATTGACTAAGGGTCCCTATTTGTAGCGGTGTGGTGGCGGGGGGGGGCCGTTTTACGGAATGTCTGAGTGAATTGTGTTTTCCCAGCTTTTGCGAAACTCTATCGTTGAAATTTGCATTTTCCCACTAGTTCTGACTAGACGCGATAACTACTTTCTAGTTACGATTTGACTTTAAAAAAAAATGTAATTGTCACTGTAGCTTTTTTAATATCAAATTATTTTTCGAGAACTTCACAGTTACTTTTTAATAAGCTGCAGCTGTCTTTAAGAAACTTTAAGTCATCATTTAATTTATAATTTTTATGACAGGAAAAATATCCAAAAAAAAAAAAAATGTTAATTGCATGACAAATATTAGATAATTGTTTTCTCAAAATTTTGTTTTAATAAAATATCTTTAAGAATAGTAATAATATCAATAATTCTAGCTAAAACCGGACATTGAGAAATCAAGAACTATTTGATGCTTATTGGTTTAATAGGAGTTGAATAATATGACGTAATAAATATTATTTTTTTTAATTTGATTTAAGTGATATAATAATAATGTTGCAATAAATAATATTTTTTAAACCTTTATTTGAGGGTTGGCATATGAACAATTGATGAATGTGGTATTTACATACATACCTAACAATTTTTATGTATTTATATATCTAATGCATAATTTTTTTGTATATTAACTATAAATATAACATTCTAGTGTCGCATGAAAAGGCATATTTAAGTAGTATTTTGTTGCGATATTGAAGATTTGAGTGATGCACATGAAAATATGAAAGTATATAGATGTGTAAATACATAAGAATTGCGGGGTAAGCATGTAAATACCATATTTATCAGTTGACAACGTTACATCTTAATCATCCAAGGTAAATTGGATGGCCAGCATTGATTCTTGCAAATTTCTTCAAAATTATAATAATTTTGACAGTGGATCGTTCGAACCAACTTTGATGGCCTAACGTGCTCTAGTTCTCAAATTTATTTTGGGGCATTTTCAAACATTCCACATAACTCCTATGTATTTAGATATCTAACACATAGGCATTTATACTTACATGCATACATCTCCTCCACAGAGATCAAAATTACTATTAAAAAATGGTTAAAGACACCTTTTCATGCATGATCTCAGTCTTTTATTTTTTTTATTGTTTTGGACACTAGTCAATAATCATGTATGATTTACTTTTATCATTTGAAATAGAAAGAGATATGGGTGCTTTTTTTTATGTTGAAATGCTCGACTTTTATGTTGCTCGACTTTCATGTAATGAATATAAAATATATAGAAAGATCAAATGTTAAAATCCTTTATATACGTGATTATATATATTTGATTATATATATATATGAATATCGTATCAAAAATCAATTTTATACTTTGAACAATAGTCCAAAATACAATTAAGGTCATACATAGAGAAATATTATTATAACAAACCAAAAGGTCATACATAAAGAAATATTATTATAGCAAACAATGGAGATTGTTATTTTAAATGATTTAAAAAATATTATAATATATGATTTTTTATTTTACTATGGTATTATATGATAATAGATTGCTTAAAGATAAAACATTGTCTATAGCATTTGTTGGATGTAGGAAGAAATAATATGAGTTTTGAAATTCTATAAACAGCTTTAAAATGACAATTATGCATGGTTGATAGTCAAGAAAGAAAATGCCAAAACCTTAGCTCAACCAATGAGCTACTCTCTATCTCAACAATATGTAGAAAGAAAATCACAACCATGGCACAGACCAACAATATGTGCATGTTCAAATAAAGAGTTATAAACTCAAGACCATTAAGCCAATGAGTACATTTCTCAAATGTACTCATAAGAGTGCATTTGAGTACATTTCTCAAATGTTACTAAACAAAACCTTACTCATGGTCCGTTTGGTGGGGCGTCGCACTGCAGTTTTATATTTTTGGGTAGATTGTGTTTTGATAGTTTTTTCAAAATGTTGTCGTTGAAAACTGTCTTTTGTCACTTGTACTAGCTAGGTGCGTTAGCAGGTTTCTAACTGTCATATGATTAAAATATGGACACTCAAAATAGAAAGGAAAAAGACCATTAAAATGGTACCAAAGCCCTTCCCAACCTCCATCAGTCAGCAACAATAACAACACCCAAAACGACTTATGGGCGTACGCCAAAGCCGATCTGGTCGGTGGGTGGCGGAAATCAAGGGCACAACTCAAAAAATCCGCCTATGGCTTGGTACCTTTGATACCCCGAGCAAGCCGCTCATGCCTACGATGAGCCTGCTTGCCTCCTCCGTGGCCCCAAAACTCGTACCAATTTCTGGCCACGCAACAACACTGGTAAATTTGATAGGTCTGAAGGTTCATTATCAGTGCTCGCATCTAAGGTTCTCTGCCATCTCCTCCAACACATGGAGACCCGACGGGTTGCCAACAGTCTACTACACTCTTCATCCTCCATACCAACAAACCAATCACTCCTTTTGCCTTCATTTCTGCCACCACAACATCAACAACAACAATCACATGGAGACCCGACGGGTTGCCAATAGCCTGCTACACTCTTCATCCTCCATGCCACCAAACCCATCACTGCTTTTGCCTTCATTTTTGCCACCACAACATCAACAACAACAACAACAACAACAACAAGAACAAAACCAAGACCAAGAATTAAAACTCATTGGTATAATGGCTTATGATGAGACTTTAAGTGATATCGGCGCCTCTAGTGCTATTGCTCATGGTGGTGATGAGATGGAATATAGTATGAGTTTTGAAAATAAAATATTTGATGAGTTAAAAGAAAAAAGTGGGAGTAGAAAGGGTTGTGAATTTGGGGGTCATTCATCATAGTTTGGAGGATTTTTCATACTATTTCTCACCATTTGAGATTGAAGCAAGAGAGGATGGAGAGTAGCTTATGAGTACTAGTCATTGTACTTTTTCAAGTATTCAATATTGTCACACAGGAATTTTTACACCTTTATTATAAATTTGAGCTTGAATTTTCTACATCTTCGTTTGCTAGCTTGAAATAAACTTATACATTAAAAAATACTGAACATTAAAATATATTGTTAATGGCCGAAGAAATCATTTGTGGCTCATATGACTGACTACTATCATGACTTTCAACTGCGGTTTATACGATAAGTTGGTGCTATTGCCACCGTCTACAACATTCATGACCATCAACTACTGCCTTAACGGCCCATCATAACTATTATTGTTAAACTACGTACTAAATGCTAAGACGATAATTCATTACTCTACCGTCATAAAACTTCTAGCACACATCAATAATATATTTAACATTGAAGCTTTAGATAAAAGATTATTATTCATTCTTTGATGGATAGGGAGGTGGTGGGGACATTGAAGCTTTAGATAAAAGCTTATTATTCATTCTTTGATGGATAGGGAGGTGGTGGGGAGTTGGGTGGAGGGTTGCATGGTGGTGGTAGCAGGCCATTCAACTACTGTTGACAACTGGGGAATTTCTTTTTTATTAAAACATTAATATAATAATTAATAAATAATAAAATGATTTATCATTATAATGATCAACAAGTTAATAAGATATTATAAATATTCAAAAATAAATAACAAATTATTATGATATATTAATAACAGTCATCATCATATATCATTTTCATATTGATCATATCATCGCGTTATTGTTATTTATTTATTAATTAATAACGGTCATCACCATATATTATTTTTATATGATATAATAATATTAAGTTTAAATTAAATCATTTAAAATAAATCGGTGCGAATAGAGATTAACAGTTACATTAACCCGTGGAAATTTACAAATCTAGAACCCTCTTTCATCCATTTTTTATATTAGCGCTCAAATATCAAAATTCACGATAAAACCCCATCTCATATTTTTCATTTTTATCAAATTCTCATTGATGTGATCTTGGCACATGAATTCATTGGTATATATAGCTCAAAAATATCACATGATGTAAGATTTTATAAATAACAATATTTCGGGTGTTATGCACGTAAATATCCCAAAAAAACAGCTCAAAATACCTTAGTTTAAATTCAATCAAAATAAATCTTCTAACTATTTGTTTCTCCAGATAAGTTAAAGTCTACCACTAATCAATATATCAAAATTTATATGGAAATTTACATATAAACCACCCAATTCCTATGTATCTAAATATCTACAGTTAAAATTCAATATTTAGCCTTATAAATATGCATGTATTTTCACTTTAACAAGATTAATAATATGATATTTTGATGTGAAGTGTAGATATGTAAATGAAAAACACAAGAAATATGTGGTATGCATGTAAATTCCTCAAATTTATTTGTACTTATTTGAAAAAAAAATATATGAAAAAAAAAAGCTCATTAGCAGAAAATTTAATGGCAGGGCAGACTATTGGGGTGACACAATGAGTGAAATGCTGTCATGCATCAATCCTATCAAAATAACACATTTTGTTCTCCAAAACTAAACTAAAAGAATAGTAATGGGGGAATGTTTGGTAGGGAAAGATGGGACAGAGAGAGGAGACGAGAGGGGGACAAAGTGATTGGACTTTTGCTTATTATATACATAATTAATATATATTAGAAGAGTGTCCAACCTTAGGTATGTCTCATAAATTAGATAAGAAACAAATGTTGGAGAGAATGGAACCATCTGTCAAATTAGAGGAGTTTCATTAAAAGGGTGGTTAGGAGTGCGGGGGCAACGACCCGTGGTACAATACAAAGTAATTTTATAATTATATATTGTACAATAAGGTTATATATATGTAGTATTTGTAACTCTAAGAGTTTGTACTGTTTTTTAGAAATCAAACGAAGTCGCCGCTCATTGCTCTCGAGGACATAGGCTCATTGTCGAACCTAACTAAATCCTTGTGTTTGTTCTTGATTGTTTTGTTGATTCTTGCATTTTGTTGCCTTAATTTCTCAACACAGGTAGTATTTTTGTAGGATATGCTCATAGTTGTTTTGATGTTTGGAGGTTTGATAAAAATGTTGAATATTAGATCGTAGGCTTGTGATACATTAAAGACTTATGTGAAACATAAAACTAAGGAAGATTGATTATAAGTATTCTGATATGATGAGAAGATTATTCAAATCTATAAACTTTTGGTTTGAAAGTGAATTAAGGTGTAATCTCGATGCTAATAAAATCAAGGTTTTGCTTGATCTGCTTATATCTTACACTGATGACTTCTAATAACTCACCTTAACTAATCTCTCCATTTAGAAATAAAATCAAGGTTTTGCTTCATCTGCTTATTTGTTTTTACTGTTTGTTAAACTTTTTGTTCAAAAACTTGACTATGCTAGAGTAACCTAAGGCCAATCATAC